ATTAGAGAGATAATCTCCGAACTACTGGGCCGATTGTTGTCAAATTTTGGAAAACTCACTTGAAACACAGACACAGCCTTGTGCTTTAACAATGCATTCATATTTTTGGAGCAATTGTAAAACGAGTCTCCGTTTAATATTATCGGTGAATAAGTGCGAACTGACACTCCGTGTCAGACCAACCAGTCAACAGGGTGTTTTCGGAAGATAATGCGTTCGAATCAAAGGCAGTGGTGGAGTATGGGTGATTATAGTATGACACATTAATGAATTCAGGAAACGAAGCTCTACAAGTGCGGTTGGTATCAGGCGCGGATACAGGATTTCGTTCAGGGGGGGGAGGGGGGGGGGAATTTTTGTGCAATTTTACCTATCTACCAGAAATTCGTTCTAAACAAAAAAGATTTATAAAATTTTAGCTAGTATACTCTTTTTCACATAACATGGGTGACATTTGGTTCTTTTGATTGCACGTATAGTGTATAGTAGAACCTCGATAATCCTAATTAAATGGGAAAAAGGTGTGTTCTGATTAACGATTTGTTCGGATCAGCAATTTTCACAAAAATCTGAAAGGGAATTGAATAACAACTTCAAACAAAACTGAAAACAAACTTCAAGAAATAAACGTAAATTTTATTATACAAAAATTAAAGAATTCTTAAGCAACAATAAGTAATAGATTCATTCTAAAAAAATATTACTCCGTGACCATAAACACGCTTTTCTTTTGGAATAAACACCCCGGGATCTATACCCTGAAATTTTTCAAAATTTTTAGATGAATTTTTCAAAAATGAAATTTTCCATTATGTATTCATATTACCTCCATTATGCAAATTTCGACCCATTCTCGACGATTTTCGAAATTTAACTAAATATATTTTCTTGTAGATTTTGGACCTCAGAAGTCACTTCTGGCTTCATTTCTTCGATAACTTAAACCATTTTTCCAGAATCGTTGAAATATCGCAATTTTTAAAAATTTCGAAAAATTCGAATTTCACAACGAATTTTCCGAAAATATTGCTCCGTTACTATAAACATGGTATATTTTTGGAATCAGCACTTCGGGATATACGTATATCTCTGAATTTGTTCAGAATTTTTAAGAAACTTTTTCAAAACTGAAATTTCCCTCATACAAATTTCGACCCATTTTCGACGATTTTCGAAATTTAACTAAATACCTTTTCTTGTAGATTTCGGGTCTCCGATAACTTCATCCGTTTTTCCAGAATTAGTTAATTAATTCAGTGCTTTGAAATATCGCAATTTTTAAAAATTTCAAAATATTACATACAACATATGCAGAAAGATCTTGCGTCATTTTTGGAAGTAGATCAAGTTCAGATCGGATTGCCGAGTTTTTGTTCGAATTAAAGAGGCATGGACTTCAAATAGCCTCTGTTCGGATTACTGGATTTTTGCACTTCAAGGACGAGGGAAATCGTGAAAGAGAAATTCAGTGTACGGCATTATAAAAAGTTTTTTCTCAAGGATAAAATTTGCTCTATTGATATCATTTTCAGAGGGTCATATTTCATCCATGATATTTTTCAGTCGAATGCATTTGATACAAGTGAAGCTGTATTCTTCATAGACTTAACATAAACATCAAACATAAAAATTGGCCTATGTAAATTTATTTAGGTAGAACTTTTCTAACCTAGCTGAAATATAGTCAACAAATTCAGTATGAAACAGTGGGAATGTTATTATATACTTTGTTTCGATTTCTTTGTGGGAAAATTGATTGGGAAGCTTAGGATCAAAACTCAAAGCGGATTCATAAACTATAAGTACAAGGAAAAACGACAGACGGAAACGGGAGACCCATTTGTCATACCCTAGGGGTCATGAAACATAAAAAACATGAAAGTAGATATTCGTTGTCTAGCTTTTTAATTAGCGTCGTCTTCGTTGATTCACTATTAAAGTCTCTCCAATTAGTTACAATCGTCCGACTTGTCAAAAGGGAAAATATCAAAAGATGTCACCCCCTTCGGGAGTTACAGGAACCTGTAATTAATCCGTTTTGTCGCGCGCCAAAACTGTTTGTGCTTGAATTGAATATTATCAAAATGTCCAAAAAATATTGCTCTGAGCCTGCTTGTGGGGTAATCAAGGATTCTAGAGACCACAAAATAATGCACAGATTCCCTTCAAACACTGTGAACAAAAGGTTGTGGTGCAAAAAGGTTTTTAATGCTACAAGTAGGTACCCCAACATGAATCTTTTACCTAAGGGAATGTATAGCCATTAAAACCATTTCAGATGGTAATATTGCCAATAATTTATACATTTGTGGTAAACACTTTTGAGAGAAGTTGTTACTATTCAAATAAAAGACTTAAACCCGGCTCTGTTCCTACTTTGTTCCTCCATGGTTCCAAGTCACCACTACCTGTTCCTACTTCTTCAAGCTACCCAGCAAGCACTAAACGTGATCCAGAATGCAGCATCATAATTCCTGAGACACATTCCGATAACAATGTAAACACCTCAAAGAAAAATTTTCCTACTGCATATCCCTTTGAAGACCATCCACACCCATGGCGTTGTGACTTTGGCACCGGTACCGAAATTTTGCCTCTTTCTCGAGTAAAAACCGAAATACATGATGTCAAATTGTGTCAAAAAGTCAGACCATGACAGACATTTAGCCGACATTACAGATTCCTTTCCCTCCCGACGTATGCGCCCTCACATGTCACATTTAAGGGATTGGAGAGACTTTAATAGTGAATCAACGAAGACGACGTTAATTAGTAAGAATGGATTGAATCAACATCCCATTGTACAGTCCATGTAACCAAACAATTTTGTTCCCAAAATCTAGCCTTATTTACTTTTTTTTTTGCTTTGCAGATTAAATTTTTTCTCCCTTTGGTTAATTTAAAAAGGCGACTAACAATTTTATAAGCACATTAATTAAAAACCACATTATAAATATGAAACAACAGCTCCTGTTTTTCTCAACAATTCACTTCATGTGTGATGTTTTAAGGCAACCATTATGCGAATCCATAAATCATAATAAAGCCTTATTTATAACAGGCACACATAAAATGTAAATTAAATGAGTTAATCATCTGTAATTAATATGGACTCTTCTGGCACTATTGGCTATGATCTCTTTTCGAATCTTCAAACCAGGAACCATCGCGTTCGAACAAAAATAGAGCTGCTACGCTTTCGGACAGTGATTGTAAGTCGTCCCACGTAATAATTCTGTATCGAATTCCGTTATTCAAGAACAACAGCGGGTATTTTTGCACTACAGAAAACTATTACGACCGTGGGATGCAATCCAATTATTTATTTTCGTATAGTTTAACTCAAAATTACACAGCAGGGTCAGAATAACAATGGCTTCTTTAAGCGCAACTCCCCGTAGGCCAATCCACTGCATGGATCGATTTTCGAGATAAGATACTAATTACTGCACCACATAAATCTGAATTTTACATGGATCTCAATTAAGTATAGCGAAAGAGAATTTATGTTGGAAACGATACGAATTAATTTAAAAGGGTGCGGGAAATAACAACCTTCCACGGCGTGAATTTTTGAACCGCACAAAACGTTCGCAAAAACAATTACAAAATTTCGCAAGTTACAACGAGCTCGGAGCGTTACGTGATCAACATTTACTCGTGTTTTCCGATGGTTCATAATTTTAGAACGCGAGATTCGTGATCTATTTCCATGCAAATATTGAAACTAACAACAATCGAGCGAATCAAATTTGCTCATCCCATCAAACTTTTAATCCAACGATAAATACTACTCGTGATTTTATTCGTGGAGTTGCAACGCTGAAATTCCACAATTCCTTTGTCGGGTCGAGAGAGCTGGGATAAATTTCAGGTATAATCAAAAGGATTTCAATAAAACCTGCCTTAATGAAACTTGTTCCGCGACAGTTCGGAAGTTAATTAATATGCGGAGGACGAAAATTTTTTTATGATTAAATTAGTATTTTTAAATCTCATTATCTACAGCAGAGTCCGATTCCTCCGAATTTGCATTTATTTCCAAATCAATAAGATGTTCGCGGATCCGAAACGACCAAGAAAGCGTTATTAAATCCGGGAAAAAATAGAATGGAGTATTGGAAAGTCTCGGTAGAACCTTCCACTTTCAATTTTTTGTTATCCGACATTTCGCTGCTTCGAGTTTTTATGAAGGGGGATGTAGTGCATAGCTCGACTCGATAAACAAAGATGTGAGCAAAATAATCGACATGGCTGTCGAGAAATTGAAAGAAAATTGTACTCGTGCTATTCATCACGTTTTGATTAAATTAATCCCGAAGTGCAGACAGGTGTGGAATTACGGGAACTAACTGGGTCATCGATTGAAATCCAACAAAAACCGGAGAACGAAAGGTCTTTCAGAATTGAGTCAAATATAAATATCACATGAACAGAACAGTACAAATAAAGCTAAACGACATAAACGTAATTATAAGTTTTTTTTTTAAGGATTATCTATCCGCAACATCGAACATCCAAACTTCTACGCTATTAAAGTTTAATAGCAGAAACAACCTAACAAACTCTGTTTTATTATAATTGACCGTACGATGTAGAAGATAGCTTATAAATAATTGCAGTAATCACGAAAACGTAATGCTGATGTAATTGGAGCAAAATTGGGCGACCAGGGTCAACGTTCTAAGGTTTTAGCAGGGACCTTAAAAATGGCGCCCGAATCAATACATAACTATGTACATACATAAAACCTAACTTATTATTCTTTATTTATTGAACACCAAAAACTGGTAAATCTTTTAACATTCGACAAGGCGCATGCAGTAGCCGAGTTTTCAGAAAAATAAATTAAAAACCAAAAAGTTTTTTCTCACATCTAGTATGGCAACTGAAGACCGTCGAGATGATTGAATCGTGGATTGAGAAAGATTTTACGATTGTTTAAGTGTGAAAAAAATTAGATAAACGCAATTGAATAAAGTAATTTTAAAATAGCTTACGGAAATTATGAGCGTCAGTAAGTTCATTCCCATCCAAAATGAAGAATTTTCTGGAGCAGCATTACCTGAAACAAACACAAACAATTAAGTAACTGAAAACGTCAGCACCAACCTAAAATTATTTTAACTTGTAATTAAATAAACTTAAATTACAATATTTTATTTAAGTTCGTAAAAAAGCTAATAAGTTTCTATAGCATACGTATCTACGCCTTTTTAGGACCGAGTTCATTTAAGCACGAGTGCAAGCGAAGCGAGTGTTTAAAACGTTACATGTTATGATCTATCTACAATTTCAAATTAAAACATAATTATCCATCCTCATCCACATAGATTTATTAAGCAGTGGACTTTATTTGAACGACGCCCGATACTTTGTCGACACAAGTGATAGATACAAATAAATGTCACTATTTGAAAATAAATATGTAGATATCAAATTGTTTGAAACCAAGCAGTGTTTAATGAACACGAAAACTGCCGAACGCGCTCAAGTCATGACTAATGACTCCGAACCCAACTTCGGTCGGTGTTTAATGAGTCCAAATCCACGGATTATGAAACTAGACTAAAACGTCGTTTAGCGGCATGCATTTTACGTTTGATAAACAAGGTTTTAAATACAATCTAGTAGAAAAGATACAAAAATAAACACTTTTTAGGCAGATTGCATTACATACACTACTGGTTAACGGTTATTCTATATTATTAAGTTTATTTAATAAACGGTAATAACATTATTTTTAAACTGTATACAGATGATGTCTCAAAGAACAAATTATTATCTATTACTGCGGTATTTCTTCTTGTACTTAACCGAGCTAATATCATAGAGTAAGTCTTAAAACCATATTTAACACCAAAAATGCCTATACATTTTTTTATTTTAGTAGTTTGTGTGTCTAACAAGATTTGCGATTTTATTTGAGTAAAAGCGATAAAAAAAACCTTGTAGTTACTAGTTGATCGTCTTTTTTTTCAGAACGTAGGTCGCAGAAAACCACTGCATGTGTAGATTAGTTGTCATCTGTCACATTTGTCATTTGAAAGTTTGCATCAAGTTACATCGTTATAACCTCACTTTTTTTGGCATATTGTGTCATGTAAATGCAGACATACGTTTCAGTGACAAACGAATTATCAGAATAATCAGAGAGTTTTTTCGCTACTTATATTTTATGAACCAACTTCATTACATGATTTCTATTTAAATAACATTTCTAGAGTAGCTTTCAACACGAAAGGGTACAGCTGATGGGAGTGCGCAGAACATTGTTTTGGTTTCGCCTTACAAATATCGTGAAAGCAGTGGCAGCGGCGATGAATATTTCGATTTTGAAATATTAAAATATTGCGGTTAATAAAAATATCACTTTTCTATTTTATTAGCGTTGACATTATAGAAAATGAATTTAAACAATTGTTAGTGCTGTATTTGATGTATGAGTTGAATAAAAAAGTAAGTAAAAGAAGTAAAAAGGTAATTTTTAGTGAGCAATAATATCTGTTAAATTACGGTACAGTCGAAGCTCTAGTTACGACAATTATGCTAGAATATGAACTGTGATTATTACTTCGATATTAAAGACAAAACGTTAAGCCTTATTATAATCCGACTTTACGGTAGCGACAAATTGTGCCAGGAAATTAAAAACCAGATAATTATAGTCATAGGTTGCTAATTCTCAGAGTTTTATTCCCGCTTTTATCTAAAAATTTAACTGTTGATTTAAGACTAGTCGACTATAAAATAGTGTTTTATACTGGTTTATAATGAGGGGTTCGTGAAATTTTTTACTCATACTATAATCCCTCGCATTATAAACTCGTTTAATAATTAAAAATACCAAATTTTGTGTAACAGATTATAATAATTTATTGTTACGTAAGTCTATTTTTTTATCAAACAAATTAATTCCTCTTTTTTTAATTGTTTTTGAAAAAAGTATAACTCAGCCAAGCCTCCCTTCTCAACGCATCGATGTTACGCCACTGCTAGCCCGACTACAAATCGCGCAACTTAAGCCCCGCCCCTGTACCCTTTCGTGGTGAAACTACTTCTACCTACATATTAGATATTGTGTTTTAAGATACTAACCTCACTATTCACTTTTTTTAAATCATTAACTTTTGTATACAACTCAATAGTTTGTCTGGTTTTTCTTAACATACACTACGTATTTACAGTAACAATTTTTCCAATAAATGCAGGAGGCGATTTATATCTCAGACTTTTAACTCCATATAAGCTTTCAGTGAGGAGGTTGAAAAAACTCTTGAAAGACAGACAAACAATTGCCCACATTCTAGCCTATAGAAATTTAAAGGCGATACTATTATCTGATAAGGGATTAGTTAATGAAGGATATATGAAAAAACACTAGTGTAAAATATTTAACATTACTAGCATAGTAAAAGGGTTTTTACTGGCGGACAGAAGGATATGTGAGTCGCAGGCGAGCCAGTCCCCTTCTGGAGCCAGTAAAAACCCGTTACTTTGCGTGTATTGTTCAATATTTTATTTGTTTCTCACTTGTAAATAACTATTATAAATTACTCCTATTAAAAACTCTAGAAGGTCCAATATTTGAAGAAATATCGTATGAGTTTTAGACGTATTGCCTTGAAAACGCACGTCAGCATGGCACTTGTCATAGCATTTACTGTGTTGTCTAGTTCTGTCATTTAGATTTTTCGATTTATCGTTTTCGATGTATTGAAATGAGCGTGGCGCAAGCTATATTACTGAGGAAGCAGCAATTGTGACTGAAAATTTACCTGAATCACTTTTGGCTGTCATTTCAACTTATAATAGTTTAAAATGTTTAAAATACATGGCGGTATGAGCACGAGCAGGGCTGTAAAATTTTTACAGGCTATAGCCAGTTAAGTGACATTTTCATGTTGAATACAGTGACTTGGTAAACTGATGTTTACAAGTGAGGAACAAATAAAAAATATTACTTACTAGATATGCTTTGAACAGACATTTAAATTAATTAAAATTTAAAATAATCTACTAAAATCATTCTAATCTTAGAAAGTACTAGCCCCGCCCACCCACCCTCTCTTTTCTTAGAGTATATGTCATTTGCCAAAATCATTCTTACTTTAGCAGGTACTAGCCCCGCCCACCCACCCTCTATTTTCTTAGCGGGTATGTCATTTGCCAAAGTCGATCTTGTTTTAGCAGGTACTAACCCCGCCCACCCGCCCTCTCTTTTCTTAGAGGGTATCTCATTAGCCAAAATCAATCTTACCTTAGCAGGTATTAGCCCTTTAAAACAATAAGGAGCTGACTGGTAGGGCTAATACTTGCCAAAGTAAGACTGATTTTTGCCGCATGACCTACTCTCTAAGAAAATAAAGACCGGGTAGGCGGAGTTAGTACTTGCTAAGATAAAACTGATTTTGGCAAATAACCATGATATAATAATTCTCTAGGTATGATACTCGTGCGGCTCAAAATGAAACCAGTTCGCGCAGTGACGTCACTCGGTGAGTAGAACTATTGGGATTTCAACATAAAAGCACGAAGAATCGCTAATATTTTTGATTTTTATAATTCATTTTGTATTTAAAAAAATGTGTTGTACAACCTCTATATTATAATATAATAATTGTAATGCTGCATTAAACAACCTGAAAACTAAATTTACGTGAATTATCTGAATTAAATTGTAAAAACGAATTTAACGGAGTTTGATACGTATTTCTATTGTGTGCATCAAATTAAAATTTCGCGTTTAATATTATTTTTCGTGTACTCAATAGAAAAGTGCGGCTTTAATTTGAAGATAATTATAAAAAAGTGCTATTTTTCTCGTTAGTAGCGCACAGGTTATCTGAAAATGCCAAGATCTTCAGAATGATCCATTTTTTGCTTTTTTAGGTTTTTATTTGATTATCATGAACAGACTTGTTGTTATAGTAATTATGCACATTTGACGTGAACATAATTATCTTAAATATAAATCTACTTTATAAATTCTGTTCTAATCTTTCAAAAACTGAGTACAAGAAAAAGTAACCACTAAAAATAAGTACAATGTACTATTGAACTGTAACCTACATGTTAATTAACAATTTTTCGATGATTTGTCTTGGAGTGAAAATTATTTTTTTCACTAGCAGCCATCAAGCATGCAAATGTCGACTCATTTAGAGGTAGCAAATTCAACTTTTGCGACCACCGGTTCAAAAAGAAAAATTGAGGTTATGTACGTAATGTTTGATGTGATTATTTCTTAAAAAATGAACAAATATGTGCTACAAACATTACTTGAGTATACGCACGGTAGTTGGTAGACGGTAGAAGATAAAATGATTAACTTAGCGACAAGTGTAAACGGTTTTTTTGTGTTGAAGATTTAGATCAAGTTTGATTAGAAATCAAAACAAAATCATGTTGTGTCAAAAAATTGAACGTTTATTTTTTCAGTTTGTTGTCTTATGGTTTCTACTAGTGAAAAAAATAGTATATTAACCACGGTTGCAAAGCCACTTCTAGACCTCGCGCTTCAGAGCCCTCGACGCTGCGCGTCTCGGGTTCTAATTTGCGCTCGGTCTAGAATGCTTGGCCTTGCAACCTTGGCCAATAATATACTATTCATAGCTTGATTTTCTTTTGAAAGTTCGTCGTTTGGTTTTTTAAGATAAGCAATTTTTGCTTCTAGATCTTCTGTCTGTATATCTTGATCTGTATTTGTATGTACTACGTAAAAAACATAATTAAATATACAAATAATCGTTTCCCTTGAGAAAGAAATATACATCATGCAAAAAAAACCGTGCAAACATAAAAGTAATTGTGCAAAAAAAAAGAATCCTTGAGTAAATACAATAAATGTTCAATATACCCAACAGATTTACTTGTAGATTCTGTTTTATCATCCGAAATAGCATTTGCGTCATTAGTTTTAGTGCTATAAAATAAATGAAAATATAAAATAATTGCTAAAAAAAAGAGTACTACAAGATGTTCTTAGGGAACTTTTTTTTTTAATTGAATTTGATTTATATCAATATTCAAGTAAAATAACCTACTTAATTTCTGAGATTTCAT